ATTGCAGGCTGATTTGGAATTTGTCATATAATATTTTACAAGCAAACTGCAAAAAGCTGAGGTGGCATCTCCCTTTACTTGTGGTAAAACATTACAAAGCTAAGCATTTGATATTTAAAACAAGAGTTATTCCTGCAGTAATTATGTATTTTGGAATAGAGTTGAATCTTTCATTAAGTTAAAAAAAAGCTACACTATGCATTGTTCAGTGGCCTGTAACTAGATTTATGATACATGTAGGGCAGTGCTGGGATTCAATTTTTTTTACTACCGGTTCTGTGGGCATGGCTTGACTTGGTAGTCATGGCAGGGGAAAGATACTGCAAAATCCCATTCCCTCCCCATCCCACTAACCTGCTTTCCAGCTCCATTTTCCTGTGTAGGGCAACCAAAGAAGACCCAGCCAATCAGCTGGGACTCAATGGGAGGCAGAGAATAGATGGGGGCAAGGCCAGTCAGAGGCGGCATTTATTGGTTCTCCGAACCATTCAAAATTTCCGCTACCGGTTCTCCAGAAACTGTCAGAACCTGCTGAATACCATCTCTGATGTAAGGAATGTTTGGTTGTTATGAAGGTGCATCCTAGTTTGCCTACATATGATACTGCATAAAAATGATGTGTACATTTTCAGTATGCAGACTTTTATAGAGTGAGGATTCTATGGATTGGCTGTTTAGAATTAAGAGAATCACTTAATAAATATCACATGTGTAGTTAGAGAACACAATTAACAGTGAAACTTCGGTGAGAGTTGATTAGAAAGTTTGAGACCTTGGTTCATTGCTTCAAACATTCATTGAACATTTGAATTTATTTATTTTAATTTATTTTGCAAATGAATTTTTGTCAGTATATTCTGACAGATTTAAATTGCTATGGCACTTAATTGGGCTATCCGAGGAAATAATCTGAAATCATACTTTTATTTACTTATATTTGTGTGCTGAATAGAATTACAGAAGAATTACATAAGAATTACTTCACTGATTATGGCTGTTGCCTTCTAAATGTAGTTTAACTATAAAGTCTATTTTGCTTCACATTGATGTTCACAACACCATTTATCATCAGACTAAGTAGTGTGTTGGAGGTGCTATCCACTGATAAAATGCTCATAGAAATGAATCTGTCCATCATGCAGATTATTAGACAAAATGAAAAATTGTAAGATTGGACGAAGGAAATGTGTCAGGATAGCAGCCTATACTAGGAAATGACCTAAAAGTTAGAAGTTGACCAGTTACAAGTCAACCAAGAGGCAGAAATGAGACACAAAGTTTCAACCCTGTTAAAAAGGGTTCATTTTTAGTGTTTCAGAGCAGCCTTCAGAGTCTCCCTGTTGACAATGTGGACCTCTGGAAAAAAAAGCCAGAAATCACAAGCCCAAGAAACTAAAAAAAATAATGCAGAATGCTACTTCTGTCCAGAAAAGGACTCCATGGTTATGGAAGACTCCATATTGACTTGTACTAAAAGAGTGGTTATGTCATCTGACAGTCTACTTGGTCTGTGCTTGAAACTCACAGTATTGATCAGAAAAAGATTCTCAACTCTTTTAAAAGCTATTGACAAATATACATTTTTATGATCTATTTGAGAACAAATGATGGGACCAGACAGAGTCTTGAAGGCATAGCAAGCGATTATGAAGTCCTGGATAGAAGAATGGAAGCATTGAAGGGCTAGGTGGGATTTTCTTTATTCCTTCTTTCTGAATTTCATAGAGTGCCTGGTAGTGGTACATATGCCTCATAGTGGAACATAGACTAATAGTGATACATAGGATGTGAAGGCTAGGGATATATAATCATGTAACTATAGGGAAGAGATTAAGTTATATGATTCAAGACTTGCAGTCAAATCTACAGAAATGCATGGGGTGGTTTTTTTTTAAAGGAAGAAGAGAAATCTATTTTGATGTACATTACTGAAACCTTGTAGAATGAAATTCATTTTTGAAATAGTGATAACTCATTGAAAAGGAATAGGTCATATATCAGGGAAGAAATGGCATTATATGTAAAAGAAATGTATACTTGTCCAGAGATTGAGGAATCTCAGCATAAGTACAAGAGAGAGTGCATATGCTTTTCTTTTTCTCGTTTCTTACAGTTATATTATTGAGTATAAGTTGTCCAATCAAGCAGAATTTCCAGATAACACCTTCAAGAACCTGGCTACAGAATTTTCAGAGAGGGGAGGAGGAGTAATAAAAGGATACATTAATTGCCCAGCCATCTTTTGCGTAAGCAACTAAGACTGAAAGATTCCAGAAAGTCTATAGTGGTTTTGCTTCATTTACTACAAGATTGAAGAGGAAGTGAATAGGCTCTCCTTGTTCTGATAATATCCAATAGGGAACAGCTGGTTAAAAAGATAAAAAGCTTGGGAAGAAATAACCATGTCATTTTGTTTAGATCAAGTTATTATAGAAAGGGAATTTGGAACATAGACATAAATGCATACTAGATTTCAAGGGAACCTATTTCAACTATGTCAGAGAAGTGCTAAATAGGAACCGATGGATAGATAGTAGTAAGAGAAAGAAACAGAGTAATCCTCTTTGATTGGAGAAAGTTTCAGGATGGAAATGCAGAGCCCCTCAACTTTTACTATGCTTGGATCTTTTCTCAGAGGGGAACTTGTTTGAAAGTATATCCATCTGTTCAGAAAAAAAGGAACAATGAAGTATCAGTGTGGGGTAGAAGTGCCAGGAGCGAACAATTTCTCTTGTGATAAATATATATTTTCTGACTATGCATATTCCATTTGGCCAGTGTCTTTCATTTAAGAAAAGTTGTGAATTTTGTGAACGTCAATAGAACATTTTAAATTTATAATGTGCCTATTATTGCTTTATTTCATATCATGGATTTTTCCAGACAGTGATTACCTAATACCAGCAGGTACTGAACTATATTGAATATTGCCTAACCTTTACACAAGTTTATTGTAATATTATTTTCCCCAACTTAATCTGAGTAGATGTGTTCAATTTACTAGTGACTGATTTGATCACATATCACTCTAACAACTGTATGGTTTAGTGATTAACATTGTGACCTCTACCTGCGACTGGTCAATGATAGTCTCTAAAGATATAGCAAATAATCTGCTGTGTATTCCTAAATATGAGCAGCATTTCAGTTAAGGTTCTTGACTATCAAATTTTTGATATTTGTTTTTATACATTAACTATTAATTAACAATATAAACTATTAATAACTTCATTTATATGCTATATGTGTGAGTAATTACATGTTTTCTTATAGGATAAACATCTCTTGAACATACAACATCTCTATGATATTATAATTATTTTGGTAGTGTAAGAATTTTCTTCAAACATCAGCAGACCTGATACAGTGTACTGTATAATAATAAGCATCCTCGATAATAACTTTTCACAGGCAGCATTTGTAATTTTACAGTATGTACAGTATATGTACAATGTTACAATTGTAAGATCCTGCATTGTAAAGCTTCTTTAATGGGTGTTTTAATATACTGGACCTAATTAAAATCAGTCTGCCACAAGATGAAGGTCTCTCTGCTTCTCTTGCATGGAAAGTATTGTACCTTGAAGAAAATGCAGGAGGGGATAGGGGAGAAAAGGCCCTTCTAAATAGAGTTTTCTTGGCACTAGGGCGGAAATGCTTTGCCAATGATTTCTGGTTTTTTTTCTTGTTCAAATCTCTAGTTTATTAATGAGGTCTGATCCTGCTTAGCCTTGGAGATTAATTGAGGTAAGCTTATATTGCATATTGTTATATTGTATTGCTGTGTAGGTATTCCATTTTCCAAGTTTAAAAGTTTGATAATATTCATGTTCCTTCAACAAATTGAAATATTGTATAATAAGCTTTTTTGCCATTGCAGAAATTTTAAGGTATCTTATAAGGCAAAAGTTGTATGAGATAATTGCAGAATACCTTATGCCACCAGACTTGAAATTCTAGACCTAGAAAACCTAGAACTACGGCAGCTTCGGTCCGATCTAAAGTATAGTATATATAAAATCATACATTGCAATGTCCTACCTGTCAATGAATACTTCAGCTTCAACCACAATACAAGAGCACACAATAGACACAAACCCAAAGTTACCCGCACCAAACTTGATTGCAGGAAATACGACTTCAGCAACAAAGTGGTCAATGTCTGGAATACTCTTACCTGTCTCTGTGGTTTCTTCCCCAAACCCCAAAAACTTTAACCTTAGACTGTCTACTACTGACATCACCCCTTTCCTAAGAGGTCTGTAGGAGGGGGGGGGTGCATCAGCGCACCAACGTGCCTACCATCCCTGTCCTATTGTTTCTTTTTATTTTTCTTATATGTATCCATTTCATGTATTCATAACTATGTCTATACTTATACCTATTATCTTGTAAGCAATTGACAAATCAAATCAAATCAATCAATCAATAAAATAACCATTGTTATCTCTATACTCCTCAGACTACCATATGAAAAGTGTAATTAATAGTTTTTGCTGTGAACTAGTGAAAAGAATGAAAGCGCTGTGTTAACATTCCTGTTCATATAGAAATATTGATGTTCAGTAATTGTTGAAGATAAATTGCCTTCTTGTCACCAAATACTTTCCAAATGAGAAGTGTGAATTATAAGTTAGTTTCATAGAAAATCTGTCTAGGTCACATTATTTACATTGTCATAAATTATCAATTTGAATCCCTGATTAGCAATGGCAATTTCTCCCTGATTTCTTTTTAAAGCAGAAATGCAAAAGGAGTTTTCCCTACCCTGATGTTGTCCAGATGAACAGAATTACTATTATACCATTAATTATAAAAATGTAGCATAAAGCATAAAATATTGTGAAATGTTGTGCACATAAACCAATCAATATATGGATGAGTAGGCACTGCAATGGTAAATTAAATCTTTCTAATATTTATAAAATCATTATTAAATGTATTTTTTATTTAAAAAACATTTGAGTCAAGGTTTGATAAAATAAGAAACAATTCATGAATTCTTTGCATATTTTATTTTTCTTTTTTGATTTCCAACTCACGCACATCTGGCATATTTTACATTTTTGCAATAAAACATGGTTACAATAGCTTAAGGAATTTATATAGCCAAAATATTTCACCATGATCTTGAGATGAAATGAACTTATCTTCCAGATGTTCAGTATTCTCCCAGTTCTAAGCTACAAACTCAAGATATTGCTTACAGACCAATGATGAATAACTTAATCATTACATTGATTCCCCATGATTTCAGAATCTTATTAATACAAACAACAATGAAGAAGGTATTTAGTGCTAAAACTTACTAATACAAGGTGAGTAACAAATAAGAACCACGTCAATAAATAATAAGTTTCTGGTGCCAAAGTGCCAGTACAAAGAATCCATTATCTTGTGTTTTTTTTTAAATAAATGACTGTGAGTGAGTGTAAAGTCTGAGAAAATTACATTCCTGTTACATGCCTCATAGCCCTACCGACACAATATGTACATCTATGACAATACAGTCACCAAATATACAAAGAAGAAACATGAAGTAAAGTGTATATACCCCTGGGTATGTTACATGATTTGAAGTATGTGCAGAAAATTATTCTGATAGTCATTATTACAGTACTGTCAAATATGAGTGCTTTCAATGTAAAATGTGTGTTAAACATATGAGTTTTAAAAATATTCAAAAGAATAACCCCAATGAAGCTAAATTTGCTTTTAACCAAGCTTTATTTCCAAAGAATTTAAGAGAAAAATCTTAGTTGCTCTCTCCCTGCAATGTATAGTATGCCAAATGTGATGAATCTAGAAGTCTAGCAATCTTGCTTTGGTGGAAATCATAAAGCGCTGTAGCATATCATCTTAACCATGCTCCTGTCTGTCAATCACATTATTAATTTTTAAGGGAAAATTATTTTTTAAAAATGCATAACTACGGCAAACAATGGCTTCATATCCAAATGCTTCATGTAATGAGCAAAACTTCATTTAGAAGGGGTGGCTCTAGACTGAAATATGCAGACCATGTTTCAGTGGCAATGGCTCCATTGCAGCTTGAACCCCATTTCAATCTTTAAATACAAGCTGGGCCTTGGACAGCTTTCAGTTCAACTTGTGGATGTGGTTTTCAGACATCAGGCTTAAAGTACATGCAAGTTGTAACTCCACAATAAAATTAAGAAACAGTTTTTGTTTTTTATACAAGGCTTTACTTTTACAAAATTATCCCTTTAAAGTTAAGATGTGCATCTGATGTACAAAGTATCAAACGTAGGGTTTTTTTCCTTTTAATTGATCAGCTTGAAAAGAGGCTAGGAAATGGGAAATGGATGCTAGAGTCATGGCCCAAACCATATAATAGCCAGACACAAGTTCCTCAGAATATTCAAAAGTCTCTTGTGATGTGTTCTTCTACCTTTTCTCAGTAAACAAAAGTATATGAAATAATTACCAAAACATCTAGTAAGTCATTATAATTTACATGATACAAGCTCGCTTCTGCAGCAGCTGGTGTTCAGTTGTGAAAAAACACACAAAATAAAATGGTTGCTGACTACAATGTACAGCTATTGCTGGGTGTAATGGAATGTACAACGGAGGTCAATGCAGATTTCTTTTTTCCACCAGAGATACCTTTCAGTAGCACTTGTGCTCTCAGTGTAATCTTTGCTTTCAGTTCTTCACTCTGGTTTAATATCTATTCTGATGCTCATAATGCCAACGATTAAAATCTATATTAAAAGCTACAATGCTACCAGATGCCATGCCGGTAATTAGAGTCCTGAAACAGAAACAGAGATCAGGTTTGTAAATATCTGAGATATTTATTGTTCATAATAAACCACGCTTAGCTAGTTTGAAGATCAGTAGTCATTTGAAAATACTAGGCAAAATGGAATATCCTGCTTGGAAACTTAAGAGTCTATTATTTTGTAAGGTAACAAAAATTGGGAGCTTCCTTTGGAAAATGGCTGCTTCTATTTCTTCAGCAGTGTTCTACTAAAGAAATGTAAAGTACATACGGATTGACTGGGTTAAAGGTAAAAAGAATCAACAAAAATGAATATAAACACCTACAAAAACGATTACTTTTCTCCCTATATGAATTTCCCATGTTATCCACACTGCAATCCCAATAACTGGTTCACTCCCATAGAATTGAGATTGAACAGGGATTAGAAGTTTGTAGTCCATGTTTTAAGATTATTATCCCGTATATTATATTACCGCTTTCTTTGAAATACCAGTTAGCATAAGCACAGCCTAAAACATATCACAATAAATTTTACTAAATATAGCTGTCTAATTGAACTCAATTGTTAATTTTGAGTAGTGCATGCCACTCAATTTAGGAGAGGTCCGTCCTCTCCTAAAGCAGTATATTCTTTAAAATATCAAAATGTACAAGTTCATAAGCTCTCATGAGATCTTTCACAAGAATATTTAAATTTAGGAGATGTTATCTACATTTTTGAAATGATCTTTTTGTGGGAACACGTGCTTTGGATTGTTACTGGCTAGTGTTTTAACACTCAAGCAATCCAGTTGTACTATGTATTTAACTAAGGAAAGGATTGCTAAGGAAAATATTAAATGCATATCACCCTCTTATTGCTATTTTTTTTTTAGATTTCAGTTTACCTCTGATCATGGGATAGGTCCATTGCCCTAATGCCAGCATCACAGCCAGGATAAATGTAGAGTTGTTTGAAGTCACAAGCTTGCCATACTTCTACTACTCCATTATCACCACCTGTAACTAGATTCTGCCCATCACTGCTCAGAAGGATAGCCTACAGGAAAACCAAAAATAGAAGAACCATAACGAAACTTTGTTATTTAACACATTTTACCTATAGTAGTAAAGCCTAACCTTAAGTGCAGAATGCTGAGCAATAAACTAGTTTCTTAAAAAAATATCATTAAAAACAAAAATGAAGGCTTGCCTTGAAATGTATACAAATCAATTCAGCCTTTGCAGTGGTATATACCACTGTGAACAGCTTGAGTTATGTATCCATTTAATCTCCTTGAGCTGCTCTTGCTGCTGGTAGATTTGATTCCTTAGGAGCCCATATTCATGACTTAGCCGAGACGCCTTCATGACATAGCTGAGAAGCTATGAGATGCATATAAAAGGCTCATCACTTGCATGAGTCTCATTATTTGCACCCCCAACTCCCACCCACCCACATTGATGCCTCTGAGTTTCCAAAATTAAAGGACAACAGAGGTCAAGCTATTTAAGGTTTTAAGCATGATCAGATGATTAAGGAATAGATATTCAGGAAACATTGAGTATTAAGCAATGTCTTGGTATAGTTTTTAAGAATAAATCTAACTTAGTTGGACCTGAATTATTTTTTCTATAGATGTAACTTTTTTCAGGTGACACTGAACTAATGTTAATGCCTTCTATTAAAATATAAAATAAAAATTACCCTGGTTGAATCATTGATTTCCATCTGGGCCAAAAGTTTTCCATTAATGCTGAAATTGCTGAATCTTCCTCGTTCATAATAGATGATACAGTGGCCTTCGCTAGAGACAGATATTAGGCGTGGATACAAACAATTTTCTGTTCCTTCTAGTGCTCTCAGCAAATCTCCAGTAATTGTGTGTACCAGACAAGGTCCTTCTGTATATTACAAATTCATAACAGTATATTACAGAAATTCATATAATTTCATTCAATGATTAACAGTGGATTGGGTACAGACTAAGTTAGAGATACTACCATGTTTTCTGAGAAAGGTTTCTTATTATTTAAATCCTAATGAGTTCCACTTGAATTAAGAAAGGATTAGGATGGCATAGAATATCTCTCTACTAATGGAGAAAAACTCCACTATCAAGGAGAGTGCATCTGATCTACATGGTACCTGCTATGCCTAAGCAAATCTTTAAAGGCTTAGTAAAGGTATTAGCAGCAGGAGTCAAAACAGGGGCAGATCAGGTTCGGAATAAAATTGGTAGTGGATTTCTGTTCCATTGAGGTAATAGGTGGCTTCTATGACCATGTAATTTAGAATTATCATGGCTAATCCTTCCAGCTGAGTAAAAAGTAAGTTAGAATTGGCTGAAAGGCCAGAAGAGGTACTTTATCTAAATAATTCTTACTTAGATGAAGGTGAACTAGTTGAATTTAGAAAGAAGAGGTCTTTCCCTTTGCTCTAACATTTATTTTCGCCTTCCCTTCCGTTATAAGTGAATAATCTTTAGTTCAATATATCTAGAAATGGATTAATGGGCTGTGAAAATAACATGGAGGAGGAAGAAGAAGAGTTGTAGCCAAGGGAATGTTCAGATAAGAGAAATCTGAGCTAAAAGCAGAAATGGAATTTGAGAAAGTGTCTGAGACTTAAATCTCTTTAGTTCTCTTTAGGATAAAGGCAGGGAGTGGTGAGGCACCTTCAGACTTGCAAAAGTCTTACTGCAACCTCGTAATAAAAGTTGATTAGTATTTGTAAAAATCTGGTCTGCCTTGTTGGGCTGGCACATCTAATTTCAATATCTTCATAAGACTGTCAAGAAGAGCTTTTTAAGGGAGACTTTGAGACTTAACTGGAATTCATGCTGGAAACACTGGAAACCAGGTTGTTTGGGGCACTTGTTTTATGGCAATGTGGTATAGGTTATTTACTATTTTTAGAGTTCGTTTTAATTGTTTGTAAAATTTGAACAGTTGGTCCTGATGACATCAATAAATTAAAAAAAATCAAAAAATAAAGGCAGTATTGCCTTTATTTGATAGAGATGAGAAGACAATGTATTTCAAGCACTGCACCTGTCATGTCAAAGAAGTGAGGGAAAAAAATTAAACAGAGCTTCTTTGAAGCACTGTTACATCTATATGGCCATGAAAAGGGTCTCTAAATTTCTAACATTATCTCCAAGAGGTCAAAGATCTTTAATATCTATTTTTGTTTCAGTGCCCTGTCTGTTCAATCTAGACTTCAACAGAACCATTGGGATCCATAGGAATTGAATTACTGAAGTCAATCTTATCAAAGAGAAGATTAAGTTCGGGAGGAAACTGACCATCATGCATTTTGATTTCTTAAAAAATGGAGTTTAATAAACTCAGAGCTGCAGAATAAGCTACAGGGGAAAGCTTCCCATTTCAAGAGAAATGGGAATTTCTAATGATAGGAATATTAAAAGCATGATAGCAAGCAGTTCTCGTAAGGATAAAAATAGTAGTCAAAAAAAGAAGCCAGCCCTACTACTGAAAATGGAGAAGGACACATAAACAATAAAGTAGTCATGAAGGAAGAGTTCGGGAAGATAGGCTGAAAGTGTATAACTTGTGACAGGAAAGTTATATCTCAGAAAGACTGAAATCTGTAATATTGAGTGTAGGCAGTATATTTGGGAAACTTCTAAGTTTTTAAAAAATAATTTCAAACCAATGGATTCTGTTCCACCCAACAAATTTGACAGTCAGTATTAATTATTTCTAGGTTTGAATTTTGGTAACAATGTTTATGCTGGCTTTTTTTTTTTTACCAGAGGCATCCTGGTGGCCTGGGCTACTTCATTTCTTGATTTAAGCTCTTGCAGCTAAAAGTAGTCCTCATCTAGCAACTACCTCACAGCAACCTTTCAGTTATGTAGTGATGAAAAAGTAACTGAGACTAATGTTTACAATCTTTACAGTGCCCCTCTGTCATCATGTGTTTGCCATTACAGTCAGTTATTATGTGTTATCCCGTGCCTCACCCATTTCTCTATCCCCTTCTCAGAGAGCAGAGAGATTGCTTAGGCTACCTCTTACTGAGCTGCTTTTCTCCACAGCGGTGTCCCTAAAAAGTGTTAACCGCAAGTTAACAATTTAGCTGTGACTTTAATTAGTTGATTAGAAACCTCCTCCTGGCTTGTGGCTGCTGCCTGAAATTGATAATCAATTTCATACTATAGGTTTTTGCTTGTCTCTGAAGTGGCTTATGGCATGCTGCGATGCACTAAGCAAGCAGCTGTCACTAGCACATTCCTTTCTAATAATGTATATTCCCCTTAGTGTGCCTGCTTACTCTCTTACAGTCCCTTACCCTCCAATCAATGTACATTCAGGTATCAATTCCTTTCTTATTATTCCAGAGCAAGAATGAGCATTCCAAAGAGCAAGGGACTGGAGGAAAAAGGCTGTAACATTTGCCTTTTTACCTGGTTTCCTCGTGAGTCACATTTTGGACACCCCCTTGCTGTTTGGGCTCAGTTGGCTATTTGGGCTATAAAGCAACAGAAAACTGAAGTAAAATCATAAACACGGTTTCAGTCATGTGGTTTTCCATTTAGCTTAACCACCAAGTTGCTGGTTCCAATTGCAGTTGCTTAATGAGGACTTTCTGTTTCTAAGTTATTGTTAGTAATAATTATTTTGAGGCATGAAGTTTTAAACTAAAATTAACCTTTAGCAACTGACCTTTAGCACCACTTATGACAAGTCCCAGCTCAGCACACACTGATACGCAGACAACTTCATGATCATGACCAGTTAGAACAGCTCTGGGAGCAGGATAGTCACCTAAAAAAAAACAATGAACCATAAATATATTAAATTAATTTGAACTTCGATTTGGGAGCATTTCTACTATTATATTGGTGGAGGTCTGTTTTAAAATATTTCTAGTATTAAGGATTTTTTGATTCATATATTCCTTCATGACACACTGATATAGACATGTCTATATTAGTCATAATAATTGCATGTATTTATTTGATTTGATTGGGTTTAGAATATAACCCTTGCTTTTGTTTTCATTTGAACAAACTATTTTAATTAGGCTGCATAATGCTTTGGATTTGATATTTATAATTTCAAGTTTTAAATCTTCCCACTCATAAAATACTCTGAGCAGATAAGTTAATTTAAAACTGCCCAGATGCACCTTACAGGGGAAAGAGTGGCATAAAAATTTAATAAATAAAAAAATAAAACAAGAAATAGAGCTTCAGTGTAAAAATATACTATTTCTCTTGGAAGCAGTTGTGTTTTTTTCTTGGAATTGTACTGTTGTTTTCCATAGACAGGTGATATATTTACATTGTGAAACATTTTTTGAATTAAGTGCTGAACAACCCCAATTATTTAGATTTCAGTGCATATGCTGGCTAGGAAATAGCCAGCCATCATGGCAATGCATCTGGGAGACATCTGGTTGAGGAGGACAGACTACCTATAAAATTTGGGATATCCATGTTTGGATTGAAATAGAAAAGCTGAATAATATTAGAGGTAGTTTCTCTGCCTTGAAAGATGTTTACATCAGTAACAGGTGCATTATATTATAAAAAGTAAACAGAGAAAAAGCTAGGAAGAACTCGGTGATATATCTTTCTGTGCTTCTGGGTGGGATGTTTAGATATCAATAGGTTATTTATTTATACTTAATATTTTGTAAATTTGTCTGTACTGAAGGAATGTAGGAGGCGAAGGTATCAAATACAAACTATATAAACAAATTATTTAATTGTCTAAATGATTTTTTGTATCCTTTCATAAGTGCCTGTTGCAATATATGACAGCAGTTTTTAAAACATGTTACATTCTACACAGAATGAAACATTAGAATAAAAGTCGGCAACTTTCCAGCACAAAGTGCTCTAAAGGATACATACCAGGAGATGAAGGGGTTTGGCTAAGTTTCTGGAGGATGCTAAACTATAGCTGGCAGAGGGCTTGAACTTATTTTACAACATTCTCATTTTGAAATTGCTATTCTCAAGTGTAAATTACCTGACTTAGCTTTGGTAAAACCTCAAGAGTTTTTCATGAGAGTTGACAAGAAAGCGAAAAAGGGAAAAAGGAATTATTATCTACATTGCACATAATTCTGAAGTATCAAGCTTAATACACTCCACTGCAGGTTAATCTATAATTAAAGTGAATCTGTACTGTTATTCTTTATTTGGTATTGCCTCTTAAAGCAGATTTTTTAGGCATGTTCTAACTGTAGTACAGTTAGAATCAGCTGATGCTTGGTGGTGACAGTAAATATCACTTCACTCTATGCAGCAAATGAAAGAAAATAACAATTTAATCAGCATTATATTATTACAGCAAACCTGCTAAATCGGAAAGAGAATTTCACATACCACATTTCACAGCAAAAACATGGAACATTAGGGACTGTAGCAATCATTCAAAATCTAAGAAAATTCTCTCACCCTAATGCACGAATGATAGATGCAGTGAAATATTAAAGGCTAAGATACTAAAGGATATGCAGGTGAAGCTTGATCTGTGAATTGAAACACCGTCAATTTGAACTCACAGCAATTTCCCCAACATTGTACTTCTATATCTGTGTAGTTGAATACTTTAGGGCAAAAGTGTAAAATGTACAAGAATATGCTCTCTCAATGTAGTAATTGTATGTAGTAATAAATAAGAGGGTAGCTTTTGTTTCTCAAAAAAGACATAATATGCAATTACTAGTACAGAAGTTCTTGTGCAAAAGAGAAATATTAATTTAGTTAATTAGTCCTATGGTTTTGTATTTCCTTACAAATTAATATTTCATGTGAATTATAAACATTTTTCTTTTCCTTTTTGGCAGTGTCACTATGATTAATTATAGCTAATACTTAATCATTTGAAAAGTGGAAGAGATCAAAGCATCTAATATTTGGCAGAATAGCTTTCCTATCTGAAGAGGAGTAAGAATATAGCATAATATTGCAAAATAAGCATCAATAAAATATCCTGAATATCAAATCCCAAGGAGTTGCTTCCTAGAAATGTTATTTTGCATTGCTCATTTTTCTTTACAACAAAGATACTAACTAAGCCAACAAAAGAGTATTGATGGACTTCACATTGCCAGCAGGACTTAAGTTGATAACTTTATCCTAAATAGTGGACAAAACATCTTAAAAGGCATAGAGTCTATTAATTTTTCATAATCATTTACATTCTCAATCATTCTGAGTCTCCAAAGATTTTAATCATTTTTTCTGAATTCTGTCATTTTGTTTATACCTTTGCCCTACAAAATAATTCACCCATTCTCCAATCCAGGTTTTATGCAGACTGTTACACACTTTATTTCTTATCTGTTGTTTCTATTCTTATACTGCTTATCTCGAAGACTCTAGGAATTTCTGGTTCCTGATTCTTGGAGAATATTCATTGGAGAATATCATGCAAATAACAAATTCACAGTTTTATATGCACCCAAACAATCTAGATGACGCTAGGTCTTACTTTCTGATGTCATTTTAGACCAGGAGTGTCAAACTCATGTTGTCACGGTGGCATTATGTGACGTATCGGACTTTTTCCCCCTTCGCTAAACTGGGTGTGAATGTGGTCAGTGTATGATGCATCCGGCTTGTGGGATAGGAGTTTAACAGCCCTGGTTTAGACTTTTCATTCATAAGTAAGCCTGCACCATCTGCATGTATTTATTAAGTCTCCTCCATAAGATCACACTACTTTAACTGAGAACTTACATTTTCCTTCTTTCTTTTGGCTTCACAAATATACTAAGGGCAAGCAAAACTCAGTTTTATCTCAAACATGCTCCTACTATTTTATGCAAGCTGGATTTCTATTAAAGTCTAACTTCTAAGATAACATCCTGTTGCTCATGTCAACCAGGAGGCATACATAACCTGGAAGGATTCTTTTGAAATAATATCTACCAAGGAGTATTGGGAATACTTTTTTATTTCTGGTTAAAAGCATGACGTCTTTGACTGTTATAAACCAATGTGTCAACTACCAGTAAGTTTACACCTGATTGGTTCTGATAATTCCTTGACATCTTTATAATGTTTCATAAATCCCTGTGCTTTATTAGGAACTATAGGCTCACATGTCTATGTGCAGAGCACTTGTTCCTCCCCATACTATTAAGTGAAGATTAGAATCATATATTTCATACAAACTCCAAGGAGAGATTGGATATAACCATGTAATACAGTCAAGTTGCCAAATTGCACCCAATATTTATATCTGTAGGTAGAAACAAGAAACTGATACGGACATCAAAGAAAGTGGATATATCTATGTGAAAGTTGATGAGAAGCTATAAGTGCAATATTTTTTTCCACTAGATCTCTAGATCATGAGTGTGAAACACGTAGCGTCACGTTGCTGTCACGTGACGTTTCGCGACATTTTCCCCATTCATGGAGGTGGGAGGGTGTGGCCTGCACGTGATGTATCCCACCCAAGGGCTGCCAATTTGACACCTCTGCTCTAGATTTTGGGAAATACAATTTTGCAAGCTTACTGAAAAAAACTGACATCTAAACAATCAAGTATCTCTTTTTGGCCAACACAATTTTAAAAGAAAGGATTTTATATTCAAAGCCCATATTCAAAACCCAGCTCTTCTCTAAAAGGTTTTATAATTAACCATTTAAAGAAATAATATTTACACATACTATTCATGTTCTAAAACTAATTATTTCCTCCTAATTAATTTAGAAAGTCTTTTAAATCTGAAACATTTACATACAAATAAGTAAAAATGCCTTCATTAGTATTATTCATAAAATCAGTGATACTTTCTCCCTGCAATTCTTTACAGAGACATTTAGTGTGTTTTAGCGTACACACAGTTTATCACACTCATGTAATGGATACTGAACATTCTCTTTAAGTATATGTAAAATGTGTCAAGTAAGACAAAATGTACCTTAGTGCCTTTAAGGGCTATTTACTATAATTGGTCCACAAACTGAGGTTTGGGCTAGTTGACACAATGTGTTCATACAGTGCTCAGTGCAAACATGGCCAGGAAAAGCAACTCACATGACTGGCAACTTGCTGCTATATAATGAGAAATGTCAAGTCCCAAGATCAATGAAAATTCAGTCCCAGGGGACACAACAGGAATAGCATTGATTGTTTTAAAGAAACCAGTCAAAGGCTGAATGCAATATATTGCACAGATAGACTCAGGAGGATAAGCAGCCAAGTCCACTATACCTACATGACAAAAAATTCAATCATCTCTTAACACTAGCTGCTGGCTCCATTTGCCTCCTTTTTTTTCCAGTGAGCTGGTTCCAATTAAGGTGCACAAATTAATTTTTATCACTTCTGAATCTACTTTCTTTGTATCCATTTCAGGAAAAACAACTTTCCTTCTTTCTTTCTTCCCTTCCTCCCTCCGATTTTCCACCCAATCTAATTAGAAAAAAAAGAACTTAAGCAACCTAACTTACAAATGAAAAAAAAAATAGCGAGTAGCCAGTTTTTATAAGGCTGAGTTACAGAAGAAACTATGTAAACCTATGCATAACCAAGACAGGATTATTCAAGTTTTTGAAAAAAAGGAAGTTAAAGTTTAATTAAAGAACTTTCTCCAATTATATTGAACTACCTAAAGGCTGCAGTCTGTACACTAATTGAAAAGATTAATGCAGGAATGCTAGTGAAAATTTGAAAATCACATTTGTTAGTCCAGAGCACGGGTGTCAAACTCGATTGTGTCAAGTGACGTACCATGAAGTTTTTTACCTTTGTGGAGCTGGGGTGGGTGTGGCCTGTGCATGACACATCCGGCCTGCAGGCCACCAGTTTGACATCCCGGTCTAGAGCTTAACTTCTAAAAGATTTTTAAGCAGTGTAGCAGCTAACATAAATTCTTGGTTGGACCATACAGCTTGGGAGCCAGTGGTGGTGTTCAGTTGGTTTGCGCCGGTTCAAGTGAACCTGTAGCAAGGATTTGGCATGGGTCGCCGAACTGGTAGTAACTTCTTGCTGGCCACACCCCCTACCCGGTCGACCGGTCGCTGCTTGCTCGCTTGCTCCGCCCACCTGATGCATCCACCAGATGCGTCTGCCCCAATGCTCGCTCGCCCAGTCACTCTTTAAGGTTTTTTTTTTTTAACCTCCCGACAATCAGCTGTTCCTATGAACAGCTGTGCCAGGATTCCCCTCGCTTCTTATTGCTTTGCCCAGGAGGCTTCCCTGAGGCCCAAGAAGGCAAAAAATGGAAGGGAGGCAGCCCTCCCTCCATTTTTTGCCTTCCTGGGAAGCTTCCTGGGAGCAACCCCCCCCCCGAGGCTCCTCTGAGGCCAGGAAGGCCCCAAACGGAATGTGGAGGGGTGCTACGTGCCCATTCTATGCTCTGTTTTTTTCCTTCCTGAACCTCAGGGGAGCCTTCTGGGAGCAAGAACAACCCCCCCCCCCCAGAGGCTCCTCTGAACCCAGGAAGGCCCCAAAATGGGTTGGGGATGTTCTGCAAAAAAAAAAAAACATGCCCACCCAATCACATGCTAATGCCCACCTAGCCTTACCTACAGAAACGGTAGAAATTTTTTTTGAATCCCACCATTGTTGGGAGCCATGTGTAACTTCTGCTCCCTTCAGATGCAGAAATTTATTCAGAATGTTTGATTTGTTAACTATCATTTTAAAAATTATCCTTTTTCTACCATACATTTAAAAGCATTAAAAATAGATTATAGAATTTTAGGTAGATCAATGTACCAATATGGTATGAGGCAATATTAGAAGCTTGTTAGGAGTATATTAAAGCACTTATAGATGTATATTTAGGTATGAGAACTAGTAAAGGCCACATCACTAATGCTTTTCAGCTTACTTAGTCACTTTATTAATAAGTAACACCAGAGAGTGCTGAAGTGAGTGCAAGCATGTGTATATGCATATGAATGTAGCATATCAGATGTATTATTAGTGGTGTTGATGAAAAAAAAAATGGGATCCTGCTCTATATGATTTTCTGAAACAACTGAAGTTCCTTCTGATAATTGGATGCACTGAAGCTGAAATTGATAATTAACTATCTTTCAGCTTAAAGGATCATTAGAAAGTCAAACACCTAGCCAATATAATTACCATAACCTGACATCTTTCTCTTGAGTTCCTTATCTCATGTTCTGAAATATAAAATATCTTATCTACATCTCCAGATGACAGCTTTTGTGAACCTAATCCTTTTCTGAAAAACATCATTCACATCTTCCTAGAAATTCATTTTAAAGGTGTTAGCTAATTGGATTTAATCTATCCTATACCGCTTGTTTTCATTTTCCTTATAAAATAAACTCCAGTAAAGAATTGTAGATATTCTAACAATATCTCTCTCTGTAACTTTTATTAAAAAAAACAAACATTTTTTCCAGTAAATTATGAAACCCATAACTGATGATTTGTCTCCAAAGGCTTTTCTGGAGAAAAAGTGGATTGGGGGCCCATGTGGGAGAAGATAGAGAAGATAGCTATACAATTCTGTACAGACAGAATTGAAAATATAAATATAAAATATAGTTATATAAAATAGGTAAAAAATGGTAATAACTTACTGCTGTTTGGATTGTCACCAATGATATGATGTCGGCCACTCCAATACCACAACAGCAAAGTAGCATCCCGAGAGCCAGAGACAATGTAGCAGTCCCCACCAATATAAGACTCTGATCTGGCAAGACAAGTGACTACATCCCAATGGCCAAATACAATCTGTGTTAGTTTGCCTACAACAAAGAGAGGTTGCTTGACTGATTTTGTTTTCCTGTGCCACAGTGCATGATGAATACAAATTGCAGCTACCAAAAAATTTAAAAACAAAGCACAAATAAAATACATTTTTTTCCGCAATGGACTACAAAATAGGTATTGTGATTGTCTTCAGACAACAGGCAATGAGGTATTCAGTCTGAGCATGTTGTATGTAGGCTATATGGAGCATTAGATTGGACAAAAGCATAACATTTCCTTTCATTGGATCTAATCTCCATGCAGATGGGTTATTACTGCTTTCTGACATATGATATGGCATTTCAGCCAATAGATGCTGGGTAATTTGCACTAAACGCTCTGCAGCTTTAACACATATAAATGTAAAAAAAGCTGTTCCCTCCAGAGTTCTTATTGTGTATCCTAAAGGCTGAAGAGGTTTCTGCATTCCCAGATGTCAAAGTGATATAACATTGACTTGTTGTTCATCAGAGAAACATAGAAAACTGTCCACTCTTGAATGGTAATGGCTCTCCAGAGTCTCAAACAGATATCTTGCCTTTCACCCACAAGTGATCATTCTTCACTGAAAATGCTAGGAACAGAACCTGTGACCTTCTCTATGCAAAGTATTTGTTGTATGATTGGAGTTACAATTTTTACCTTCCTGATCTCCTCCTGTCACAAAACCATCACATCCAAGGCAGCTGCTGGACTGTAAGCCTTAGAATTCTCATTGCAGCTGCTGCCACTCAAATTCTGAATAGTTTCAAATTCCTTGAAAATTTAAATAATCTTGGGGGAGGGGGTTTAAGTAGTAAAGGAATCTGCTATTGGTAAATAACAGATTCATCCCTATCCTAAAGAGGGAAACATTTAACTTCACTCTCACCAGAACATCCTAAATGAGAATTCTCTCAAAAGATATTACAAAATATCTCAAGTGTCTAAAATGCAGTTGCAAATTTATACTTAGACTGGATGATAGTTGAGGGCAAAAATCTCCAAAATTTGAAACAGATCTCAAACTTTGTTTTTAAATTAGCTTTTGGGATTTGTAGCAGTTACTAATCCTTATTTCAATTCCTTCTCTGATATGAAAAAAGAAGCATTTTCTGTATTACTTTATTCCATTTAAAAATATTTTTCTATTTTAACATTCTGTGAATGATATAGGAAAATGAGTAAAATTCCATGTGAAAATTCCACCTGTTTCTGTTGAATAAACTCGAAAGCTCTTGTCCCAGAAACCACAGATAAGAATGTAGCGATTATCTGCTGTGACCACAAAGCAATGAGCATTGATTTGAATGCTTTGATCCACAAGGTCTGTGATCTGCCGTTTATTCACACCAGAGTTATTGGCTGCGCAGAACAAGAAAAAAAGCAAATTCTTTCAGAAACTTTATATCATGAAAATAAACTTTGCATGGGAATGAACATGCTAATTCAGGCATCACAGTAGACTTACTATACCTTCAATTCAATCTCTTAAGTCTCAAATAAGAACCCAAGTTTTTCTAATGCATACTACTTTGCAAGCAATTTCTCCCTAACATAATGTATATTTCATAGTGTAAAATTAGTGAGCTGTAACTATTTTTCCTCTATTTTGAATTCTTCTAATTCGTGAAAATATTATATACTAAATTGTTGTTGAAACTAATTATTTCTTATTTATTTTCCATCTAAAATAACATACCAATCAATGGATCCATTTCAATAGGAAGATGATGAGCTTGATCTAGAGAATATCCTGGCGCTCCCCTAAGGCCTAAGGAACAGAAAAGAAATGCCAATAAGGGCTATACAAAATTAGGTTTGTACTATGGGATTTCTAACATTTTCCTCTTTCTTGCTTTCCACATTACAAAATGACAAGCAGTTGTTTTTTTGTAAGATTGGAAACCTGTATGGACTTTTTCTGAAAGAAGAAACTATCAAATTGAATTTGGAATTATTAAACAGCACAAAGAAGATGGGGAAAACATTAAAACGATAACCAGTAATTGTTACTATTGTATATTTTTATTATATTGAAAAACTGTGTGCTCTCACTCTCTGTATGTATGAATGAGTGAATGAATGAATAATTATGCAAGGAAAGATTCTGATATTGTATATCAGTGGTTTTATATTTATCCAGACCTCAAAAAAAGAGCAAATCTTCATAACCTAATGAAAAACAACTCCTGGAGCCTATAACCCAGGCATGTTCTGGTTAAAGAAAAGTGGGCTGATGTTGCTGTCAACTTCGCTTCACTCAAGGGATATTTGAACCCTTTTGTAATAAACTTATCAGAATTACAGTTAATATAAATTTACAACAGGATAGCAAAGGGATATGTGGTGGTCCCAAAGTAAGACCTATATGAGGGCATTTGTTTCAGATGTAAAAATTTGGATTCCTTTTCCATTTTGTTACACCTTTCTTTAACAATTTTTCTACATTCTATTTCTCTATTCCTAGATCTGTGTTCTCAATCTATTCTTTTCTAAATTTGTTTATTATGGTTTGTTTCCTATAAGTTTTCATTTGTGTCTGAATGAAATTAGATGGAGACTGACATGCTTATTACTACATTTTTATGCATTAAATAGAATATGTGCATATCTAATGTGTAGATATCAGGAAGGAGTGTATATAAAGGGGATGATTGTAGCTGAATCTTCTCACCACTTTAATCAATTCCAGTGCTTTCCTCTGTCCATAGTTCACACACAGGGAATGCACCAAGAAGCAATATGGACAAAGTTAGAGTTCAGCTGTTTTCATCCATATCTCTCTCTTGATCTTAAAAAAAATCAGCCTCTCCCCTCTGCTGTGTATTTTAATGACTTTTAAAAAAAGCAAAACTAGTGAATATATAACTAGCTTGGCCCTAGCAATGCACTGTTATTCACATGCAATCTAATAGAATAATTTATACTTAAGTTGGGAGGATATAAACAAGCATTCAAAAGAATACCAGGCAGATTATTTTGGTGTGCATGTATGTTTGTGTATATGTGGTTGTATGTTTGAGTGTTTTGAGATGGCATTTAATTTTCCCAATGATACTTTCAAAGGTGGATTAAGTTATAGGAAACATTTTTAAACAACTTCTTGATTTATTTACAAATCTTCCTTTGAAAATAAATATTTTCATTTATTTGGGTAATGAAGTTCAATACAAGCCCAACCCAAACTAAACAAACTCATCTGAAAATCCATCTTGAAACATACCTACTGTGTTGTGCCATCTATTTACTGCAAAAAGCCGGCTGCAGGTCACAGTTACCACTGCAGGAATTGTAAGGTGTGGGAGTGTATTGGCTGCCACGTGTGTGACAGGAGAATTTGATGGAAATTTGAGCACCATTATAACATCTTGCTGCATCTGATCTTTAAACATAAGTGGGCTCTGTGGAAGGAAACACTGTTGAGTAGAAAGGAAAAGAGAACAGAAGAAAACAGAAAGAATAACACAATTAGTGAGAAGGTCTGAAGGGAAAATAAGGTTAAGAGAGTCAGGAAGTACTTACACATCCAGGAAAAATGTTATTTATACAACTACCACTATAAATACAAGACAGCAAAATTAGAGAAGTGGTTACTGGTGAATTATAGTAAAGCAAATATGGAAAAGTCATGGCAAATGTCCATTAGTTTATCGTTACAGGACAAGTGATGATACAGTCAACATTAACAAATAGAAAACTAACTAAAATGCTTAGAGTTGTTTATATAGTAAAGATGTCAAACAGAAGCAGTAGTTTAGTCATTCATTAGGCTTATACAATAGAGAAGCTCAAGAAACATAACCCGGAGGAATTGAGTTAAGAGCTGTATAAAAACAAATAGCAAAACTAAATGTAATGGCATTAATAGTAAGAAGAAATACTGAGCTATGCTGAAAATGGCAAAACCATGGAATACACACTCCTTAATAAGATGTATTATTGTTATCTAATATTATCCTGGTGATTTTTAGTGATGTGGTACAGAATGAGGAAGTGTACTGTAACCTAAAAAGCAATCTAGTCATGCAGAACTTGTCATGCTATAATGCTTGAATGAACAAGTATGTCTTCAGTAGTTGTCTAGTAGAAGACAGCACAGGGCAGGTGACTTCCCTAAAGAAGAGACACCATAAAGGAAACACCATAACTGAAAAGATCTTATTACTGGCCCCAATACTATGAACCAAATCTATTAATAGAATTACAAGCTGGGACATTACAACTGATTGGAACACATGGGGAGAAGTAATAGGACTTCATAAGCTAAATGTCAATCCCAGTGTCACACAACACAATAAAGGAAACAGGAATTTTAATGAAAGAATCAGAGGTAAGGAACAGAATCTAGGAGTCTGCACACCCTATTGTTAGTGGATTCATTAAAGTGGACTCTTTGAAGATTTTGAATATTTTATTCCTCAGCTTTGAAAAATGTGGACTGAGTTGCCACTTCTGCATGTAAAAGTGCTATCATTACACCGAGACCTCAAATACTTCAATCACACTGCCTGATTCAATTGGAAACAAAGTGTTCAATGTAATCAGCATGATGATGAGATCATGATCCCACATTTCCAGATGATCATCATCAGCAATTTCACATAGACACTGAATAGCAAGGCACTCTGTATTACATTAAAGCATGTTCACCATAGGATGAACAGAAAGATTTCACTGACATTCTGTGTTGGTGTTTCTGTAGGAAGGCATAGAACTATCATAATATTCTTCCCCCAAATCCCAAGCTACTAAATTGCTCTAGTATATCAAATAATCAGTGAAGTGGCAAGATGCTGAAAATTCCAGAAGAACTTCTCTAGCTCTCTTTTGATAATGACAATCTATTATGGCAATCAAGCCTATTTCAATTATTTAATCATATCTTAAGTGAAACTGTTTTCTTCCCACACACACTTGTAACTGGATGGTTTTAAATTTCTCCTTATCGTCTTGCCAAAAGGGGAAACCTAAACTGCTACATATGCCACATTTGTTATCGCATGTGAGTGTAATTGTCAATGGATTTAATAAATCTAAAAGGTTATTGACTTCCAATACATTCCAATCCTTCCAATATCCTTTAAAATAATGTAGGATGTGATCTGCATGATTGCTCTTTTGAAAAAACAGTAATTTAAAATAGAAAAGGTCCTGCCCCCTCCCTGCATTCTTCTTAGGTAAAGGTATATAGATTACAGATTAAAATAATTTTGAGAATATTATAGAAGTGTTATGAGAATATATTTACTTGCTATGATTTTGCTGTCCCTTAAGGCTTTAAATATTTTCTTTCTCATATTATTTGAAGAATACGGATAGTCTTCAATTTTTGACCATAATTGAGTCCACAATTAGAGTCATAAATCATTTTGATCATTAAGTGAGACACCATGTGAACTAGCCTAATTTTATGGCCATTTTTGGCAGTCATTAAACAAACACCGAGTCATAAAATAAACATAGCAGCCATTAAATTCCATGGTTAAGTGAAACCATTGTTCATAGTGGGTGTTTTTTTCTGGGAAACAAAGCAAACACTGATTTTTGGCAAAAATATTGTAAATTGCAGTTCCATGAGTATGGGACACTGCAAACAGCCATAAATGCAGGCCAGTTGTTGACCATTCAAAATGTGGCCACGTGACCACAAGGGTGTATGCATGCCAACTATTGGAATTTGAAAAACAGTCTTCAATACATTTGGGGGAATCTATCATAAGTTTGAACAGAAGTAAAGTGACTAGTTTGCTACTATTGGACTATGAATAGGAACCCAGGTTCATATCTATCTGCAGCTATAGAAACTCTCAGGATGAATTTGAACTGTTATTCAATACAACCTGTTTTAGTGGACTGTTTATTTGAGATTAAAATGGGAGGAATGATTGCTACATACATTGCATTTTGCTTCTGGGGGAAAAGAGGGATATAAATGTAACAAATGAAAGTATAATCAATTGCAGGAAAAAGTGTTGCCTAAACAATTGTGCCCTTAATATTTAATGGCAGCCGAAGTAGAACCATTTTAAAATGTTCTGGACTTTCACTAAAATCTTTATAAACAATCCTCAAAATTTAGAGGTTTAAAATGGGAACAAAAAAAGAGGAAAGAAATACAGTATAATTCTTTCCAATTTGTTTGAACCATACATATAATTTATATTCCTATGAAATAAATACAGTAAAATGAATTAGAAATTATGTACTAATTTCTAATTAGAATTTAAACAAATATTCAGCATGTCCTCTCTGAAGAGATAGCAGGAGATTAACGATAATTCCTCATTTTGAATACCTAGCAATCATGAATTACATAAATAATTTCTTCATACCATGGTATGTTTCTATCATAACGATGTAGGCTTTTAAATTTCAGAACATATTATTAATCATAAGCATATTTACTATAGTAGAAACTGATTTAAAGAATCAAATATTTGATAAATCACTTAGTAATTTACCCTAATTCTCCTTCTCTTTTAGCATACTATTTTGTGCACACAGAAACACACAAACAGAAAAATCTGAGTTTTTAGGGAAGTCAGAACATATGAAGAGAAAGTGTTACTTAAATGGGCATTTATGACCAATAAAGGATTCTTGAATGCAGAGGAAATAAATCCCTAACAAGCAGTTTTATCTCACCAGGTGCATAGCAGAGCTCCGAGGAGGATGTGGCTCGATAAGCAACTGAGATGGCGTCTGTCCAAAGTTCTGTATCTGTGCCTCCATGGCCTGCAGGGAAAGCAGAGTACTTGTCATAATCAATGTGCATCAAAAATATAGGTCAACACACTCTTTGACAATAGAAGCATATCCCAAGTCAGCCATGAAAAAAAATCCAGAAAATTCACTGGGTGCTCTTCTCCCAGGCTGCAGACTCATCCAAGTGTTAGTATTTTGTAGACAAGTGTTGGTTCTTTCAAGCATGCTTCAGTTACTCCACTAATCATTGCTATTTCAAGTAGCTGCAAATGCATGTGAAAATGTTAACCTGTGAGGACATGCAGCTTAAGACCTTGTGAGAATTCTCTGCACCAAACACAACATATACCTTAATGAAGTCCTTTGTAAGGAGGAAACTATGAGGGTCTCTAATAAAATAAGCATCTGGGATCTTGAATTAGAAAAAGAGAAATATAATTTGTGGAAAATACAAATCTAAAAAAAATTATAATTTCCATTAGATTAACTAGGCACAATAGAGATAATTACATTGCTAATTGTTTATCTACTTGTAGATAAAGTAATTAGCCCAAATATACAATTTTTATTGTGTTTTAATGCCATTTTCCTTGGTACATAAGCATTTCCTTACTCATCTTCTTCTTCACATTAACTAATTCATTGCTCACTTAATTAATCATAAGGTTTTACATTCTGTATTATCAATAATTTGATTTCCCCCCCCAGTATTATCTCTCCCAGCAATTTCCTTTACTTTTTTCTGCAGATCAAAAATCACACTAACAGTAACATTAAAAAAAAAATTCTAACCAGCAGCCAAACGTGGCACATTTGAAAGTTACAAGTTGACTTGGTGCTGGCGCTGAAGACATGTTGTCGGAAAAAGACTTAATGTGTGAAGCAATTAATGAAGTACTAGTAATGCAAGTTTCCAGTTTTAAAAAAAGGATAGGAATTATTGCTCACCTCCTGCCCACCATACAGTGTTCCATCTAGCAGTATAAAATGGATACATCTCTTAAAGCAGTGTTTCTCAATCTTAACAACTTTGAAACGTCTGGACTTCAATCCCCATAATTCCCCAGCCAACATTGGTTGAGAGACACTACATTAAAGAGTTATGATATGGAAAATATTTTCAGGTTTGACTGCTTATAATGAAAATAATATGGTTTTATAAAATCTGTAGAGAAAATTCCCTCATGACTTCTTAGGCAGCAGATTTGTGAACAACTGTACTAGCAATAGCAGTTTTGAGTTGTGTTTACTATCCTCTATCCTGCTCTGCTTACAAAAACTGCACAAAACCTGGTTACACTCAACCTCTTCTTAAAATATAATAAAACATAGAGCACACTGAAATGAACAGGATATTACTATGGCATAAATGACTAATGGTTAGTTGTTCCCAAAGAACAATGCCACTAGGGAATTACACTAACCAGGAAAAACACACCCCTAGTTTGAAATCCATCTCTTTACTCAATACGTTCCAAACTAAGACTATTACATGCAATTAGAAGGTCTGACGAAAAAAATCAAATACGAAAGCGGGGCAATGGCTACAGAACGGACAGAGTGTTTGTACATGGTTATAACAAGTGTTCTGTTATTTATTTATTATTATTTTTCCATTTGACCCCATCCTTTGTCAGAATCCTACTCAAATCTTAGTTATGCATGTAAAAATGTTAAATAGATATGCCTTAATATATATATATATAGCACATGCACAATAAGTTATATATAGTAGGTTATTTTCCACATGATTCAAATATTTATCTCTTTTTTCCCCTGTCATTTGGAAAACCTAGTGAATATTTGGTACAAAATAGCAGTGAACTCTATGCAAAGCTTTCAAGAAAATCTCCACAAATGACATTCACTAGATGATAATTGAATTTAATACTGCAATCTCATGTCCATTTACCATTCTGTAAGCTCATTAAATCCAATGATTTCTAAACAGACATCCATCAAATTGTACAGGCAGTGTTATTTAAAAACAGATAGCAGGAAATGCTCCAATAAATATTCCTGATACTCCAAAAATAAACTATGCTCAAGCAAGAGCTATACTCCAACTATTTCCAAAAACAATTTGCCGTACCTGAAGAAAAAAAAATCAGTCTCTTTCATCTCTTATATTTGTCACCTTCCTATGTCTAAGACTGACCCCCTTCATCCTATGCTTTTGTTTTTTCTCCCTATACTATTTCGGGCTCATTCTGAGTACATTATTTCTGAAATAGGTAGGAGAGTATGTCTGAGTCTCTGGAGTGTTCAGGAGAAGAATAGTACTCTTTTTGTTCTTATACAGAATAATACATGCAACATACATACAAAATCTTGTGCAATGCATAACAACCCCCGTCCATCCCCAAGCAATGGTTGACTGCTCCAGCTGCAAACAATTCTACCTATTCTTCCAACAAATATATGCAACTTTTATATGGGGAAGCACATACATATTTTTATAGGTGTGTGTGTGTGTGTGTGTGTGTGTGTGTGTGTGTGTGTGTAGTATATACTACCAGAAGCCACATTTCAAGAAAAGGACAATACCATGACAAAAGCCCAAGGCATTTCATTACAAAAGTAAGTGACTCCAGCTGCATATATTCATTTGAATATACAAACTACTGTCACACTGAAATACATAAATACAAGCATATGTTCCTTTCCCTTCTTTCAATAGGAATAGCAAATAGCAAAAAAGTAAAAAAATGACAACCAAGCAAATAATAACAAAAGCAAAACCCTAGGAAGGAAATGTGGTACGAGGAAGAAATAACTGCACTGGGAAGAAAAGAAAATAGGGGACAGGTAAAGAAAAATGGTGAATGGAAAAGGCAAATGAATATGAGGGAAAAGAGAGAAACAACACACAAAAACTATTGCTCAGATTAAATTTCAAATGCATCCAAGCATTTCAGCAGTAAGCTCATGATTTTAATAATAAAACTAATGCTTATCCCAGGTACTTGGGAAGGACAGAAATGCCAAATCCAGTCTAAATCTCTGTCTGACTGTGTGCAACTAGCTATGATGATAATATCAACCCTACCAAAATCTGGGGATAGAGTAGGAAACAAAATAGGTAATCAAGGTTTTTTAGCCTTAAAATGTATAGCTAAGATATGAAAAATCTCTCAAAATCAGTATGTGAAATCTGACATTGTTATGCAAATTTTGGGTCTATTTTGAAATTCAAATACATGTCAATGAAATACAGTCATTAATTTTTCATTCATATACGTTTAAAAGTAAAGGGAACCACATCAGAAATCAATAAAAGTCTTTTGGGTTGGCCAGTTTTTACTAAATGTATGGTATTCACACAATAGAATATTAATTAAAGTTATTATCCTAAATCATCAATAAATAAATAAATAAATAAATAAATATTCACAAGTTAAAACTATACCTAATAGATCAAGAAAGTTGGAAAGGATTATAAAGATAATTTAGTCCACTCCCCCTGTTTAGTATAGGATCCATTATACTATCAACATATTTGATAGATGACCACTCCACTCCACTCAGAAAAACTAAACCACAAAGGAATGCTAAAAACTGATGGTTTCCAGGAGGGTGCAAGTGATATTTATTGTGAATGTTTCTTTTAATGCCATTTGGTGTCTAAAACAATATTCTAATAACAATACACTCTGGTAATTGTGAAACAAATGGACAAAACTATCATAATTTTGTAATCATCACAATTAAACATCACCATGCTTCAGCAAAATTTCACCAGAGGAATTTTTTTGTCACAACAGGAATAAGTCTCTTCCAGCAGTTTTAAATTATAATAAATTTATATTGTCACAAGCTTTCATAGTGTGGAGCTTACTTCCTCGGGTGCATGAACTATTACTCCAAATGGCAGATCAGCTTTTTATTTTTTGAGGCAGTTAAGATTTCATTCATAGCATAGAAAAACAACAACTACTTGCTGCTGTTTCCAATTTTATAAGCATGAATAAAGCTTTTTTATGTTAATTAGGTGTTTGAAGATACTACTGTGACATGCTAAGTGTCATCTAATATGCTAGAGGAAGAATATTGCTCAAGCACATAATTTAAAGGGCCTAGGTGAAGTCCTTGAGTTTTCTTTGTAATATGAAAATCAGGATTGCTACTGCCAATCACTAAGGAAATAATTCCAAACTAAACAATCCAAGAGTCTAACCTGGCATAAGGCCATTTCCTATTTTCGGAGCCAAATAAAACTATTTTGAAGTCTTGCTGTTGCCATTTCCTTTGCAATTCATACTGCTGAACATACCAGATTCCTCTCTTCCTTCTATTGCACGCACATCCAACTGATGGAAAATCGACAATAGTTCCATCTATGTAGAATATGGAGCCTGACGATATGCTACATGACATTTACTTTTATAACAGCAAGGATAAAATGGCCCTAAAACTTTTCTGCCTTATAAAAGGTTTAAATCTGGGTTTCCCAAACTGGGACATGTCCTTCTTTTGAGAAGATACCGAGAGAGTCCAGGGCAGGTGTGAAGAACATTTTAATTACCTTGTTATAATAAATCCACCTTTCCCAAAGATTCAAGATATGGTTTTCATTGTTCATTTTGGATTGTTAGGGAAAGTGTGTATATTAAGATTACATAAAAGGGAGCTGTGATGGCAAAAAGATTAGGAACTCCTGGTTTGAAGGAATGCTAACGATTAGGCATTAATCCAACAAATTTAAATACCATATGCAAGATAATGCCTTTAAATCTAAGGTAATGCAATATGAAAAAAAAGCCAGTGAAGACAAACTAAGTCCTCTTTATTGTTTTATTTTTCTTCCACTCAACAAAGGAGGCAGAATAATTCTTACTGCTTTTTTGTATAGAAACTCAATTTGATTGTATTCTGTTTAGAGCAGAAATGACTGACAGCACACTGGGTAAATTTCATATGCAGCCTGAAAACGTTATTGTTTCATAGTAACGATATGAGATACTGCTTTTTTTATTTGTGTTTATGGCTGTTGAATAGCATAGAGCTGAAGATTATTGATTTCAATTTGA